GGTTTGGCGTTGCGGCATCTGAGGCAAGGCAGGAGCACTGCCCTTCCGACCCCGTTCCTCTCTGGCCAGGCAGCATGAAGAAGGGCATGTTGTTGCCAAGGGAAGGTTGGTTGGCTGCTTCACCAGGGGAAGGGCATGCCTCGGAAGTGTGAGTGGCAAGCTAGTCTGCTCTTTCCAGGCCTCACACCCCTGCGTCGATGTTGCAAGGGAGAGGTCTTCCGAAGAGGTCGGAGGGGCGAGGGCCAGCGCCAAAGACTCCGACTGCAGAGATGTTGGAAGGCTTAAGTAGCGGATCTCCTCACCGAGCGAGCCCACCTTCCGGGACCGGCGGGGCAGCAGATATGAAAACAATCCAACTTGACCTGTGGTAAAACAGCCGAGGCACATACTGAATGTTCTTGTCGGCCAGCGCCGTTTCAAAACGAGACATGTCATGGCTCGCTGGGTACACGAGCTCGTAGCCTCTGCTTGCCCACTGTGTGATGGCACTGCCTCCACCAGGATGCTGGCTCACCCAAGCTGAGAAGTCGTAGACTTTTCCTTCATGTAAGTGGACGTGCTGGAAAACGATCCCTCCCAGAGAAATCACCGAGTTGGCCGCCACGCTGGCACAACTCACGAAGATGTCTCGGTATTCGCCTTGTTGCTGCCCCAACGCATCCACCTTGGTTCGCCCCTATCGACTGTGCTGCCATGCTCCATTCTGTCCAAACTGCAAATCAATAGAAATGCGTAAGCCTAAGCACTAAATCGTTGATATGGTCGGTCTGATGTTGATTGTTGTCTTTATGTTGACTGTGCCTCTCTGTTGGTAGATCCTCCGAGTCGCGAGAAGCTGCCTGTCACTGGTTCCGAAAGAGCTTTCCGTGCAGTCCACGGCCGTGCAGTCCAGCAGCTTCCATCGGGAGAGTTTTCCACAGGGGGCAGTGGAGGTGCGTAGCCCGGAGACCTGGGCGTCAGGCACACTTCAACATACTTCAACAAAGAAGCATCGACCATGCCACTGCTGTTTCGTGGGCAACTTTCGCATTTTTGGAGGCCCGGCCGTGTACACGTAGCTGCCTGACTGTACGGAGATCAGCTCCAGGGTGCTGCTGTTCAAAACGAGGCTTGCCGAGGTCGCTTGCACCACGCTGCACACGCGGCCAGCCTGAAAAGAACGCAGAAAAACTGTCGTGCCAAGCAAGTTTCTGTGAGCATCTCCAGCTGTCGTACCATGGAGAAGCACAGCGCATGTCCCGCCTGAACTGCACACTGTTCCGCATTGAACGCCGTCTTGGGCACAGCCACGCAGGTGTCCTCCATGGGTTGCCTAGCTGCCTGCAAAATGTCAGCCACTGCAGCTGCGTCCTGTGATGGAGTCTGGACATCCACCAACTTCAGGCGGGAGTCATAGCGGTAGGCCAAGTTGTTGACCTGGGAAGGTCAGCGCCTGCAGTCACGGCACCGGCAGCGCCAAACACCGGGCCTTGATAAAATCGCCAAAGTCACATGGAGCCTCGGCACTGGGCCATCCAGTCTAGGAAGCTGCAGAGCAAAAGAAAAGTGAAGAGTTGCCGTCTAGGTGCCGGGGTCTCGTCCAGAACGATGACACCGGGGCGCACGGAGGAGAAGGCGGCGGATGTCTGGGACAGGCCGCTCACATGGATCCCGGGGTTCAACATCACAACCTCGGGCAAACAGGCGCTGCGATGCGCGAGCCTCACGTAGGCGAGGCTCCGGAATGTTGAGGCAAGAGTCTGTGGTGCCGCTGCACTGGGTCCCAGTGGAAAGAATCAGCTGGCTGCCAACGGTCGCCGCAGTCTCCACGGAGCATACCTTAGCAAATCCTGTGCTACATGCTGAGCACCGCAGCACCTTAATTTAAACGATGCTTCGCGGCATAGCCCTGGAAGTTCAGCGAGGGCCAGCCCTGCGAACAGTCATCCCCGTCATAGCCGAAGCCAGCATCGAAGCACTCCTCAAGAAGCAAGAGCAACAAAAACCTGCCAAACCCTTCTTACAGTAGTCCAGCACCTGCTGGCAGAGGAGTTCAGCGACCCAGGCGGCCGAGTTCCGGCACCTCCATTTGTTCACCTGCAAAGAAGAGAGCCAAGAAGCAGTCAGGATCGGACATTGGATGCTGCAGCCCCTCTTCTTACCAGCATGAACTCCTCTGGTGTGTAGTGCCAGCCAGCTCTGTGTCATGCAGCGTTTGGGCAGCAGCTCACGAGCTCAAGCCTAACGTATCATCGACATCTGGGAACTTTATGGCTCACATGTTTGTAACGATCATGACCCGACGTCCATGCTTCTTCTGAAACACCACTTGCGCGCTGGAAGAGTGATGTTTGGCGTCTTGCACCATTGGTTCGAACGAGTTCGGGGGTTCGCCGCCTCCTTGCCGATGAGCAGCTTCGCACGTCGGGGTTTCATAGTGATCATCTTGAGCTGAAGGCTCCAGATGAAGCTGTCAGAGGCAGCAGTTGTTATGGTGGTTGCACACTTCCTTGCAGGGTTGATCATTCACGAGCAAGCCAAGGTCCGAGACCTTACCACAGAGTTCTGTGTTTTTTTGGAAGGCCGGAGAAGCACGAAAAACCTGTTAACTGCGCCCGGGCGCCTACCTAAACTCCCTGTTAAGTGATGAGGAGCTTCTCGTCGCCGCTGGCATCCGCCGGCGAGGTGTGACGGTACAGATGTTCGCTTGGAGCATGGCGTGCCCTTTGCAGCTGCGGATTCTTGCGGAATTTTGCACAGGAAAGTGCTGCAATTCCATAAGTGCAAAGACAACGGGCACATCACGCAGCTTGAAGCCGTTGCTGTGTTGGACCTTGTGAAGCACCTTTTGGGCAGTGACTCCCCGAAAATGTGATGTGCATCCTTCTTGTCGATAACCATGCTGTCATTGGCATTGCAACATAAGGCAGAACCAGTTCAGTTCTGCCGCAAGGACCTCTCAGACTCTCAGGCACATCTCCGCTGCCCTTCTTGCTGGCAATCTGACAGATGGCCCATCGCTATGGGTGCTGATGCTGATGCCTAGCCGGCCTAGCCAGAAGGAAGTCTTGTGCAAACGGTCAACGCGAGAGCGTTGCTAGGTGCGTTAAGGTCCCAAGTCGTTTCATCCAAAACGGAATCGCGGCATCTTGAACATGTTTCAGGCTTTTTGCAGTTCCCCAAACATCATGGCAAGTCGTATCCACGAAACTTCACTTCGCTTGATCTTGAGCCCTCCGCCTTTACTGAACGTCCTTGGGAAGAAGCAAGAGCTGAGCAAGCGACATGCTTAGCGGCTTAGTGGACTAGGGCACCCTATTCCGGCTGTGAAACCACATTTGAATGCGAGCTGGCGCTTGCACTCAGCTTGGTCTCGTGCTGAGTGCTCAGCCCCGTTGTCACGTACGCATTGGCTCCACTGGCTTTTGATTCCGGATGGATGGACACAGCAGCTTTGCCTATTCTCGGTTTCCACACATTTGCTAGGCGAGGGTCACTGCCACTGACTAAGTCACTAAGTCTGCCTAACGTGTTGGTGCCTCAGAATCACTTGCTGTTGGTGATGCTTTTGTGGTTACTGCCGTTGACAATTCGGAGACTTGCTGTCTACAGAAATCACCAGGTACGCAGCGTCAGCAACTTCATTATTGGCTTCGTCCTCTCAATCGTGTCACTCCTTTTCGGTGGTATTCCTTGTGACGTGGAGGTGCCACCCAATCGTATCGGAAGTCGAGCCATCTTCCATCTGTGTGTTTCAAGAGTCGGTGAAACACTATCAAGATAGCATAGCACAGCTCACCAAGCTCTCGCTCTTACCCTCAGAATGAGGCAACTTCGTGCCCTTGCCTTTCGTGCAAGGCTTGGCTGGCTAAGCAATTAACTCCCTCCCCTGCCTCCCTACTCCACTGCTTTCTTTGCTCATTTGCCACTCTCTCCTCCGCCGCTTGAGCCTACGATTCAAGCGCACCTTGCACAGATTTGGGGGAGGTGGACACCAGTGCGGCATGAGGGGTGGCTGCAGGCTGGATTTGGTGATGGTCCTTGGGGCGGTGGTTGCTTCCACGCATGCTGCTTTCTCTGGGCGATCTTCTGTCGTACCTCTGATCGATCCTCTTGTGTGAACAAACTCACTTTCTAGCGCAGCTCATGATGAAAAGAGCGCTTGCTTTAAGTTGACTGGCCTCTGTGGCGCAGCTCTTCCCCGAGTTGGCCCAGTTCGACTTCGGAACCGAGCTGCAGGAGCCCGGCGCCTCCCGAGCAGAGCTGGAGAGCTGGAGCAGAGCGAACTCTCTCAAAAGACGAAGAACTACAGCTGGGCCCCTGGGCCCCCCACGCTCAGGCTGTTCGAGGTGTAGCTTGGGTCCAAGTCCGTCCGGAAGGTGTCGGCAACATAGATCTGCTGACCCGTGGCGACGATTTTTTTCCCCATGTCCTCGTGGCTCAGAGCGACCTGCTGCCATCGCGAGCCCGGCTCGCAGGGACTGCGGGGCACTCCCGGCTCCTTCTCTTCCGTTGCAGCTGGGTTCGCTCGCTTCCGGTATCGGCTCCGAAGGAGGGACGGTGTCAAGGCCATCTGCTCTCTGATCCAAGATTCATAGCCCTTGGACTGGAGCGCGTCGAGGCTTGCCCGCGTTGGTCCGAAGGAAGCATGCAGCAGAAATTGCGCATCGCCTGCTCGTGTACGTGGCATGCTCGGGGTGCTCGGGGTGCTCGTGCCACCGGGCGTGGTGGACACGGGCGTCACAACCTCTCCTGTCGTGCTCGTGCTGTCGATGTCATCTACAAGGGTGGTCGAGGTTGTTGTGGCCAAAAAGGTGGTGTCGACGTCGCCGCTGCTTCCCTCATCACAGCCCGCCAGAAACAGCGGGATGCAAATCGAAGCCCCTGCGAAGAGCGCATTGGCGAGCCTACCAGCCCGCATCTGAACCTCCCGATCCCGTCTTTTGAGGCTAGTGGCTGCGCCGCTGCGCCTATGCCAAACATACCGACCCCCTGCCCTTTTTCGCTTCTGAGCTTGGAGCCCAAGGCTGCGCCAGGGCCTGGGAAAAAGGTTGCGAAGCACAGAGATCAAAAAGAGCGACAACTGGGTTCCACACTCACGGAGGGCCCCGTCGAAGTTACCTGCCTGCCGTCACGGCCAAAGCAGTGCTGGTCAGTGCTGGTGCTCCTGCCGCATTCCCTCACCTCGTAGAAGGCACCCCACCGCGAGTCGTCACCTGCCTGCAACCACAACGGAAAGAGCCCAGGTTCTCCCTTGCGAGACGGCTGCTTACCTGCCAGTCCAGGCCATCTGGTCCATCCTTGAAACCCCCAGGAGATCAGAGAGACACCAGACGTGACAGTCGAGGGTCTCGCCCCGCGAGGGCACACGATTTCGCAGGGTGCGCACAGGATCTGTGCACCTGAGAGCAAGGATGGCGAGGAGGCCCCAAGTGTCAGGTGCAGTGCTCCCCGGCCCATGGGGAGGATCATATGCTCGGAGGTTACCAGCTTCTTCTTCACGTGGTTCACCCTGGCCAAGACCTGGCCGGGGCCAGAAGCACTGGGCTCGAAACAGGAACTGTACTGACACACGCCCCGCTTTTTGTCGCTTTTCAAGGCCCCGACACCCTTGCCGATCAAGCCCGGGTCGAACAGCTCATAGTCAAGAACCGCCTTTACCAGCGGCTCTGAGCGGACTTGAGACGGTGGCCGGGGGGGGAGCGGGGAAATTTGGGGGGCCCGGGGCCGCTGCGACATCCACTCGGCCCGTCAAGTTGTTCTCGTCCGGCCCATCGGGATCCACGACCGCAAGCTCGTGAGACGGCCGGTGCACGAACCTGACGGCACAAAGCCTAGACCGCAGACATCCGCAGACCCTGCAGACCGCACAGGGATCCGCACTTCACCTGCTGCGACTTTAAGCCGTTCCTTAGTTCTGCACTCAGAGGACTCGAGGAGATCGCTGCCTTCAGAAGGCCCGGGCTCCCTTGCGATGGTCATGTAGAGGTCCGCGATGTAGGCCCCCCGGTGCCTCGGCCGCGAAAGGCGGATGCGATGCGGAGTCCTCACCGTTTGTGTCGTTGCTGCTCGGCGACGCCGTGTTGGCGACGATCTCCGAGGCCGGCAGATACCTGGGCCACTGGCGAAACGCGGTGTGTTCTTACCTGGTCGAATACGGCGAGCTCTGGGGCCTCGCCGCCGTCAGCAGTGGCAGGGCAGACCCGAGGCCAACGAAAAGCCACCGTGCCTATATAGCAACGCAAAGCGGATGAACGCCGTTGTGTCGGTCACACCACGGCCCAGGCATCGTTCCCGAGGACACTGTGCTTCTGTCGTTTTCCATCTTTGTCTGTGGCACCTGAAGAGCACTCCAACTTAGAGCTTCTTCTCACGAACGGTCCCAGCTGCCCCATGCGAATTGATTCATGTGCATCACCGTGAGCATGTCCCGTGATGCCATAGCTGTGCTGCCTTAAGCTATCCAAAAACCCGGGAAGCCCGCCCCTGAGGCCAAGGCCCATCAGCTGCCCCACGACATCTCGTATGGCCTGCCAGTGGCAGGGGCTTTCGGCTCGGCCCGAGACTGAGCAGCAGTGGCAACTGCCTGAACATAGGCTTCCACAGGGGAGGCACGCTGATCCACGAGATTTAACAGCTCGTCGGCATGCTGGACCTCAAGTGCTGTATGCTGGAGAAGCTGCCGGTAAGGCAAGGCCGTGACCTCGGATTGCCTTTCCAAGAAGAGGGCAATGGCCTCTCCCACGGCAAGAGACCAGCCGAATTCTCAGCCTTCAAGCGAACGAGGCCCGCCTGTGCTTGCTGGGAGTCGCTGTAGTCAACCCGGCTAGGCGCCGGCTTGGCATCGATGCGCCATTCACGAGTCGTGGGATCCTCAGCCAGTGCCAACAGAAACACATCGACCTGCGTAGAAACCCCGCTTTCCCAAACTTGTGTGCCGCACCCAGATGGGATGCTGCGTTTTGGCGCCACGGTTATCATGCCTCTCCCACGCAGCACGACGTCATGACACCTTGTTGGCCTTTGCTTTTTGTTTGGGGGAAGCAGTGGATGCGTGGCCTGTAGATGACATCCATGTCAAACTTCGGCTCGAAGGGTGGCGGCCTCTAAGAGTTCCCCCACAGGCCCTCGGACTTCCGGGCCAAAGAGCTGTGCCAAGGCGGGGGCGGAGGCTCCTTGTAGCCAAGCATGGCCTTCAGCTGCCGTTGTTCCTGGCCGAATTAGATCCCTAAGACCAACATCCGCAAACAAGAGCCGGACGCCGGGACCATCTTCGAGGACGAGTAGTACCTGAAAGAGAAGCCACGGACATCCGAAAGGCGAAGGAGAAAAGAAACCCTCCAATACTCAGCTTCTGCGCTTGTCTCCGAGGATGATCCTATTCGGGTCGTTTGCGGCCTGCACTGAAGGTGCTCAAGGGAAGCTCTCTGCCACAGAAAGGGGGCAGCTCCTCCTCCTCGTCCTCCTCCTCCTTCTGCTGCTGCATCAGGGAATCGAACTTGGAGTAGTCGGTGGTATGTTTTTTCACGAGCTTCTCCTCAAGTGGAAAACTTCATCCAAAGACAAAGATGCAGAAAAACACGGAAGGTCTCCTGCTGCTGCTGATTGCGAATGTCCCTGGCTTTTTGTGTCCAGGTGACCAAGTCCTTGTTGCTTGGCCTCTCCGTGAGGGGTGGACGGAAGGGGGAAAGCTCTTCCGTTTCCACCCTGAGCACCTCACTCCTTCTCAAGGCCTTTCTCGAACATCTCCAAGGCTTCCTGGTAGTACTCCATCCTCGGCTCGGGGCCAGTGTAACAAAACGAGGATCCCTCCACCGTTGGGAGGTCCGGGCTCCAAAGCCGCACGGCCGGCTCGGAAGTAGCCCTTGGACCTGGGCCGCCCGGAGAGGGGCTGTGGGCATTTTGTCCCTGCGAAGGCACAGCCAGGCTGCCAGGATCTGTTCTCCTTGATGGCCTTGGTGGCCTCCACCAGAGCCTGACTGCAAGAGCGCTCTTCGCCGCTCGCGGCACGGCCAGCACTGGCGCCTCTGTGTATCTCCCCAGCTGGAACTGGCAAGCAGAGCCTTCTTCCAAACAGTGGCATCACATTTTGTAGACCGACGTCCGCAAGGGCTAGACGATTGCTGTAAATCTTGTACTTCTCGGGGACATCCTGCCGGTTATGACACGCTGATAGCGGACCGGTGTTCGAAGGTCCACATGCACTTACACACGACAAGACACGAAAATACGACTTGCCGCAGGTCCCCGAGCAAGGCGCCCGCATAGTACTCCAACGCCTGCTCCTCGTCAGCAGAAACTGCCACCCTCCTCCAGCCGGAACGACGAACTGGGGCCCCAAACGTACTCTTTCTTCTGGAACGCTAAGTTACCCAGGTCCTGCAGCAGGCAGGCAAAACCAACCGAGTCCAGCCAAGTTTTGCAAGCTTTGTGCTTTTCTGCGCGGATGCTCGGTGCATGGTTACATGTGCAGTGGAAGACCCCGCTGACGAGTCGCAAAGCGGCCGAAAGGAGAGCTAAGTTCTGAAAGGCGTCGCCTTGTCCCCCGCGTTCGTGGGCAGGCGTGTGCAGAGTGCGAAGAACCTTGAAGAAGCGGTCTGGCGTGTAGGACATTCTTCGTGCTGGAGAAGCTTCCCGACTTTGTCGCAAGATGGGCCATAGATGGCAGGATCTGCAAAAAACCGGTGATTCCTCGGAGCGATCCGCTTTGCGCAGCTCTCGCAACGGAGAGGAGGAGAGCGTTGAGCCCGTGAGCCGGGGCGGGGCCAGGCCGGGCTCTGAGACCCTGAGACCCCTACGGAGACCTCTTCGTAGAGGTTTTGTTTGTCGTTCTGAAGTTCTTGATGGAACCTAGCAGAAGGAGATGAGGCGAAGATACCAGGCCTCGCCTGGCGGCAGCCTGTCTTGCATGACGGTTACACGCAAAAATCTTCCCCAAAATCCGCGGGCAACTGAAGGTCCACGAAACTCTTGGAGTTAGCAGAACATCCTTGGCTTTTCGGGAAGCAAAGGAGACCATCTCCGGTGAGCAGTCTGCCAACTTCGCCTCCGAACGAACCCATCGCAAGCAAACATGCTTTTTTTGGGACACTCAGCGTGCCTCCTTGACCAAGCCTTCGACATTGCCCTCCTTCCCCAGCTTCGTGATGCGCTTCCTGTGATGTGGAGGAGCCCTGCACAACTCTCCCAGGCGGCGAGGATATCGGGACTCGGGATGCTGCAGCTTGTCATCCAGCGACTCCTTGTCCTGCTTTGGACATGCGAGAGACAACGTCCCTGCTTTCTTGGCCCTGCGCCTCCTCGCTCTCGGAGGAGGATCCGGAGGAGTCCTCTTTGGCCATCGCACTCGCCTTTCGCTGCAACAGCTGGCCCAAAACAAAGAGAAGAGACGTTTTTGCCCAAGCTCTCGGCCTCCCCGCTCGGCCGAACTTTGGAGCCGTGTTTTACAGTAAAAAAATCATGCAGGCATTCGCTGTTTTAAGGCTCTATCAGGAGGCGGTTCTCTTCCTCGTCTTCCAATGGTTCTGGGAGTCTCAAGCTTTTTGTCGGGGCGGTCCCGGGCTGTCTCGAGTTTTGCAGGTTCAGGGTGACAAATGGCTCGAGCCTCTAGCAGCTGCACAACCACCCCACAAGCTCCAGTCCCAGAAGAAAAGCTTCGAGAACTGAGAAGATCGCAAAGCCGTCACTAAAATGACAGTTTTATTTTTGCTCTTGGACGAGAGCTCAGGGGTTGGAGCGGAGTTCTCAACTCACGAACTTGGAGAGGAAGCCGGTGTACTCCTTCTTGCCTGGCTGGAAATGCCGCAAGCCTTCTCCACACACACACACACACACCGCAGCGCTGCTTTGAGGCGTGGCCTTTCGTCAAATTCCCAAGAACCTGGCAGGCGCGTGCACCGTCGCTTCATGACGCCTTGTCCCTCTCTCGCAACTGCATCTCCTGTAATAAAAGACCTTTTTCCAAGCCAAGTCTTCAGGTCCACCAGATTCGATTGCGAGCTGATCAGCTTATCGGCTTGGCGGCCCTTTGCCGTCCGTGGCCCTCCTCCTTCCGTTTCGAGCTGTTCGCTGTCACTGCGATCCTCGAGGGTTCACAAACCATCCAGCTAGGGCTCGTTCTCGTCGTCGCCACTTCCCAAGGCCGCTGGTGCTCTCCACGCGCTGCGCGGCTTCGTGCTTTCAGGCTTTCAGCTCAAGCATCAGGCGCTGTCTCGTCAGCTGGCCTTCGCAACACGACGGCATCGGTGCCCCCCTGCCTGGATGCACGAAAGGGCCGAAGCCTGGCCTCTGCGGCCATGGCGGCCCCCCACAGCTTGAAGGCCTCGTGGCGCCACGCAAGAAAAAGCCGGAGCTTCATCTCAGCCTCCGCTCTCAGAAACCTCAGACACTCGCCCTCGGCTTGTCGACTTCAGTCCTCAGATTCCTCTGGCAGAGAGGGCAGCCGCCGCCTTTCTTCGGCCACGCCCTGCTTCGGAGAGCTTTCACAATGCAGAGCAGATGAAAGCCTCGGCCAGGAGCCAGAGCCCCCCCAAAAGTTTTCCTTCTGGGCAGTTCTGTGTTTCTGGGCTTCCGGCAATGCTGACAATTGGCCATCTGCACCGTGTGCTCCAGCAACCACCGAGCCTTCGTCACGTCCCGCACAGTTTTGACAATCCATCCTGGCTGCCAAGCCGCCAAAATGTGCCAGCCTTGTGAGTTCGGCAGGCTCCAGCAGTGCTCGTATGGAAGCCCTTCAATCGGCGCAAGCCTGCAGCCCAGAGTTGGCAAAAGAGGGTCTTCCAATCCCTCCACGACTGTCCTGAGATGGTGCAGCGTGGAAGCCGGTCCAGCGCCGCCGCGCGCCAAGCCTACCACTGCGCCAGTGCGGCGGATGCTGAAGCTACCCTGGATTTAGCAAGGTGGCTACTCTGCCCTTCGCTCACCTCCGGCCATCGCAGGGGCGGTGCCTGTCGAAGACATCACAGAATATCAGAATGTCATTGGACAGTTGATACCGCTCTGCCCGCTGCCCTCTCCGGTGCCTTTCCATCACAGAGAGCGCAAGCGCAAACCGCTTCCGGCTCTTCGTCTGGGACCTCCGCCTCGGCCTCCGATCGGAAACGCACCGCCAAGACTGAAAATCTGGGAAACCTGAGCTGTCAGTTATCCTTCCGGTTCAACGGCTCGGCGCCCGTGTTGCAGTCTCCTTCTTACTGTGTAAGATCGAAGACATAACAGCAGCTGGGGGAGGTCTTTCCCCAAAGAACCGTGGCGATATGACTCCAAAACAAAGTGCGAATCTTGTCTACGCGACGAAACCTCAGAAATATATACCTAGCCTGATTAGTCGTGTGCAAGGGGTCGTATAATTAGTGGTAAGAGGACAATAGGCAATACTTAGTACGATTACTCGTGTGCGGAAAGGTTCAGAACAAACCTTCTCATGATTAATAATGAGAAGACAAAAGGCAATATTTGGCATGATTATTCGTGCGTCATAGGCAGTCGTTAGTATGATTATTTGTTCTCGGAGTGTGTGATATGTATGTATGTATGTATGTATGCATGCATGCATGCATGCATGCATGCATGCATGCATGCATGCATGGATGGATGTGTGTATATATATATATATGTGTATGTATGAATGTATGTGGACCATACGTACACAGGTACATGTATGCGCGTGTGCCCGTGTGATCCATTAGAAACGAAGTTC